CGCATCCCATCTTCACTTCACAAGCCTCGCGCCGCCAAGGGAAAATATACTTCATGTGGGACTTCGCCATGCGCACGGAGACCATGTTCCAGTCTATCTTACCCAACTTGCCATCGTCGGCTACCACGAGGCCGAATCCGAATCCACCCCCGGCTACTCTAAACGAGGAGCAGAAAGAAGAAGCAAGGGGCGATGTCGTGGGAAGGTGTATGCTGTGAGTCACGAAGGGTGGCCAAACGGATGGCAGGTGCTAATGAGTATGGCTTGCAGGCTCTGGACAATGATTACGGATACTACTGGCAAGACCGGGATGATGTTTGGTGAAGTGCCGGGACAAGGAGTTGAGTTGGGAGATGAAGTGCAGAGGGCGGCTGCAACAGTCACTGACGTCATCTTTGAGCGGGAGGGGCAACCTGCAGCGGGCCCAATATCCGCTTAGCTAGGAAGATTTCTGGGAGTCTCTGGTGACCCTTATAATTGGGCGGACCGAGTGCCCACGTCCTCAGCCATGCCCGGAGTCCTCAAACCAAACGGGATCCGAATTCAGAAAACGGTCTCGGGGACTATTGACAAATGTATTGTTACTTGTGTAATAATACTTCTTTATCACAGCTAATATCTGGTTTTCTGGATCAGGAGTAGGCCAGCACGAGATTTTGTTGCGTCTATAGTGTTTCTGGTTTAGCTTTGGCATCCTCTATGGGCCTCAGCTTCGTATTGTCGATAATTGCACGCTCTTCAATAGCCTTCTATGAATCTTGTGCGGATTCTTCGAGAGATTCAAGCAGCTTCAGCCCAATGTCGATCTTATCGATTTGCTTTAATATGAACGCAATAGTCGCATCGCGGGCCTTGTCCACCCTCTTCAAAGCCTCTGTTGACATCGATCCATAATCCGGCGGTTTCTTCTGTGGCGTTGGCGGAACTCTTTCGGTATTGTGGAGCTTCGCATTCTTCTTAGCAAGTAGGCCTCTCAAAACAAATATGTTTAGATCCCTCTCTCTTAGATTGTCTTCCAGCTCTTTCCGTGACGTCTCTTCATCGATCTTCTGTTTCTTAGCGGCCTGCTTTTGCCTGGCCTTTTCGTCCGCAACCTTCCACTTCCAGATAGCTTCTTTAGCGCAGTTCTCGATGTGCGTAAAGCGAATCGGTCCAATATTTTGCCCGCCATACCATCTCGCAACAACGACAGCTCCTTCGACAGCCTCGTCATCCAACACGTGCTGCAGCCTACTTCCAGCCCATTTCTCCCCGTCGTCGTCATGGGTCAGATCATAGAGAACCTCCTTAGCTGGAATTAATGACCTTTGTCGTGATCGCTTACGAGAAGCTGCGATCCGATGCGTTGCTGTACCGAGTTCTGCCAATGTTTGAAGCGCTTTGACGGAGAGGGATGGAGAGAATGCGGCCACAAAGTGAGACCTTTGCTCTTCAACAGATGAAGAGCGATATATTTCGGAAGAAGGGGTTGGCGACCGTGAGCGCTCTCTTTTTGCGGCCATTGTCTATCAGGGGTACTTGGTGGACGAGTGAGCGGGATGGAGTGGGGTTGGGTTGGTTGGCAGCTAGGAAAGTGGCGCGGGTCTAACGCAAAACCTGGAAGTCTCGGAGGGAAGGTTTTACCGATATACCACACCTCACCTGTTCTCCTTCAGCCGCGAAAGTCATTCGTATAACATCTACACATCACTTCTCCCGCCTTCTATTGTGCTAGGAGTGACAAAAGCTTTGACATGTGCCTGAAATGAGCTCCAAATTGTATCTTCGAGCCCAGTTTATTGCCATCACCACAATGTCCTCTTCAACTATCAGAACACCACAAGACATATTAGGGGGCAGGAAGCTCAATCCCTTTGGGGCACAGAAAGGGAAAAGCGTCAAAAGAAACAGAACTATACTAGCTTATCGAAAGACTTCCCATTTGATGTCAAGCAAAGGCTAGGGTGTTTCCCAGACCACTAACCTGTCGCATCGACTGGTACTGGTAGCAGTTTGCAGCGAACGGCTTCAACTCGTTTTCTTTAATTCTTGTACATCTTAAAGGCAAATAATACAGGCCTGTCCACTGACCTTACCTCGGCCGCATCAACAAACCGTTTCGCAGAACATTCAACCAACTTCGCCTAGTTCTGGCTCAGCTCTCTCACCACCCTCTTCCCTGTCACTCATTTCCCTTGATCTCTCTATCACTTGTACACGTGTCAGACTGTTCCACCCCACCATACTACGTCAGCTGCGGTGGCGACTCGCAGGCTTGGCGCAACGGCCACGATATATTGCCCGCCTCGACCGCCGAAGACCAACCTCACCCACCGACATCAATATCGCCACCCGGAATTCTATTTAGAAGAGGGCGCTTCCCACTCGGTCTACTATCTGTAAGTGTTTTGTTTAATCCTTGCCAAATACGAAGCACTTCCAACAGGGAACGAAGCTTCTTCCGGTTTGCGCCTACGAGTTGTTCCGAGTACCACAGCTCGCTCACAGTTCAGTGGCCTTCATTGTTTTGAACTAACGAGGTGAGTGTACAGGCCCGTTGAAACATCATACGCAGCATCTCCCCAATAATTACGCGCCATGGGCCGTTACGAGACACTCAATGCGGAAACAAAGGACATCGTGAATTGCCTCCTTCCCGGAATTGCCGCTGGCTTTGGGGTTATGAACGTGGTAGACATCATTCCCGAAGACATCCGTATGCGGCAGTGGGACTGCGACAGGCGCGATCACATCAAAGACAAGACCGAGGATGACCCGCGCAACTGGGGTGTGCAGTTCCTCAGGGACCTTATGTCGATCACGCGCCTCAAGTCCGGGAATCTCGACGAGTTCCAAGCTGACCTGAGGACGTCAGTTTCCAAGCACGATCCTAAACATCCTTGGTGCCGTTTGGCGGATATTAAGGACCTCAAGGAGAAATACGAGCATCCAAATCGCGCCACCGAGAATGCTGAGGACTACTCGTCTGATCAATCGTCTTCTGATGACTCTTACTTCGAGGAACTGGTGGAGGAGCCCCGTGGAGGCCGGAAACGTGGCCGCCGTGGTCAAGAAGTTTACGAGGCTCGCCCCATTCAGAAGCCGAGTGCTCACCGCAAGAGTTCGTACGTCCGATGTAATAGGTTTTTTACTAGCTGACATGATTCTAGAATATAAGCGTCTTCGTCGCGGGTCTGGCGACGGATGGGCACGACCGGAGAAGCCCGATCACCATACCAGGGGCCTGTACCGGCGAGCTCGCAATGGTGAACGTGTATACTTCTCCGGTACTCCTACCAAGTCCGAGCGTGCGGTTTCTACGGAACCCTACAGTGGCATGTCCCCTCGTCTATCTCCATATGCTGGCGGCGGCGCTCGTAGTCTCCATGCGGAGAGGTTGAGGGCTGAGATGGAAGCTGCTGAAGCCGAGGCCAGGGTTGCCAAACTGCGCGCTGAATATCTTAGAACTTTGGACGTCGCCCCCGAGGACACCGACGTTGATGGCCCTGGTACGCAGGCCGATCCAAAATCCAACGACTAAAAGTCAGTGTCAAGGTCAGAAGGCGTGTTCTTGGAGCTGAGTCAATGGTCTACCAGGGAGATTCATGCGGTCACCACCTCATTAATGGAAAGGAACTTAAACTTTGTGGTTCTTGGTTTCGTCGCACAGTTTGAGAGGCGAATTGGTGTAAACATTGCGGACAAGGGGTTGAACATTTCAAGTATTCTGACGTCTTATGGAGCTTAGCCTCAAGCGCAGAAGCAGATTACTACAATCTTCTTCTACAGGTTTCAGGCGGGCATGATCAGGCTCAACGAGTCGAAATTCACGGCGTGGAAGTATCAGCTGGTATTTCGGTCAGTTAATGAATATACCTCTCGTCACACAGATTACTCCTTCAACCATAACTCTTTCGTGAACCCATGATTGTTGATCGGCTGTCCATAAGCCCTAACCTACTCATCATCTCTTGCGGAAACAAACGTGAACTAAGCGATTCCTGTAGTCATGTTTCATCTACGATGAAGCTTATTGGGTTGAGGCGTCATTCAGCTAGATATGCAGGCATGGGGGGTACCATTTGCAAATTCTTACCCTCTCATCCTTTCTCTTCCCACATTCAGTGGCTCTCTTCTTTGTACTGCTACGATGTACTGTCAAAATCTGCCGTTCTCCATCGCGTTGATGTGGAAATGTCCGGATAGGATCAGTGCAACGTATTATAATGAGTGATTCCTTATAGGAGTATGGGATCTGTTTGAAGACTAACTCAAAGGATTTGTCACTAATATGATGTCGATCAGTCTTTTCTGGTGACGACCTATTATGTTATTGAGTATTGATCAAGGGTATTCAGTGTTGTCTTATCTCGCGTCAGTGTTCCACGTCCAAGCAATAACCTGCCACGATAACACTTCAGCTAGATATCTGTTACTATGATGCCGATGTACAGATGAAACCTAGAAAAGTGAAGGAGGTTCCATTACTACAAAGTCGGAGGTTACTCAGATCCCCTCAGTCAAAGAGCCACAATCACATCTAGACATGAGTACCACTATCAACCAACTCGCACTGTAATGTTAGTCCTTGCTGCTGCTATTTTGGCCAAAGCACATACTGCAACGATGGCGTAAATGTCCATACCTTTCGCGCTGCATTTGCATAATCAATAATCCAGTCTAAACAACCTAGAGTTAGGCTTTCGATCTCTAAATAGTTATCTCACGGTTCCCCCCACCAAGCCTTCCTAGACCATGTCTTAGCTGTTACCGTGTGCATCATAGGGGTTCGCATACATTCTAGAACACCCGTTTTCTTTGTTATTTGACGCCGCTATCGCAGACGGCATAAGTTCAAGCTTTCAGGGCAAACTTTCTACGCGTAATAACACCTTTCCTTAACATTTAGAATAAGACATCGTAAACTTGTTCAAATCTTCTGTGTAAACTATAGATAATAGAGACAACTGTTAGCATGTGAAAGCAACAACAATATTTTAGACGACCGCAAAAAAGAACTATTCCGATGCGGGGAATTGAACCCCGGCCTTGCCGGCACTGCACATTTTTGAGAGCGGCATATCCTAACCACTAGACAACATCGGATTGATTTCGTCGTTCATTGTTGAAGATTTCTGAGGTTAATACAAATATAACGACTATGGTAAGAGAGTGGGACAAGTATATAGAGCGGTGTAGGGGACTAGCTTAGGTGGGGCAGTGACTCTGTAGGGGTAGGAGCGGGTGAGTCACGGAGCGAAGCAAATTCGCGGAAGGGCCGACCCACCTTGGACTATGAATTTCATTGGTAAGTTGGAATAGGTTACAGATATTACAAGCGATCGACTAGACATAAGAACGGCAGAAATACACTAATACGGTGCAGCTAGCTTATGTAGTTACCTGTATCTACGTTTAAGAAATAGCATGGTCCTGCTCGTCATGTGCGGGACATACTTATCCTAGCGTGATTTGTGAGGGAAAGGAACAACATCCTAGAGGTATGTGCAAGTATAAGACCTAAAGTGCATAGGCGCTCATGCCCGTTATACAGAAGATGTTTGCATATAGGGCAGACAAGCGCAGGTCAAAGATGATTTAGATACCTTATTTGGTGGCCGTAAAGCCGACGGCAAGACAGGGTGACCAAGTCTGATCGGCAAATTGTTCGAGTTGATATTTGGAATTAGTGGTGTGGCATGTCAATGACTCCAGCTATTCGTCTCATGCACCAACGAGCAAAGGCAAGCGATAATGGAGCATCTTGTAGATTCCCAGCCCAACTATTCGATGCCTGAAGCTTGTCCCGGATTGTCGAGGGATGAGCTCACCTCACCCTGACCTTATAACTCGTCTTGGTCTTGGTGGTCCATTTTAGAGGCCGCGATGATGATCTTCCTGTAATCCAGAACTGCATGTTCCAGCTCCTCTCTTTTCAAGGCTTCGTGGTCAGAATGCGCAACGAAGATGCTGCCAGGACCATACAGATATCTCTTGTGGTTGCCTTTCAGATTTGGAACATCAGTCCCGTAGTTCACAGTCATCTTCTCGAAGCCCTCAATGTCGCAGTTAATGTTCACGGGTGGGTATCCCTCGCTCCCTCTCCTGACGTCCAGATCACCTCCAAGCGCTTCGACTGTTGTTTTCACATCCTTCAACGCGTCGATAACCATGCTTTGGACGAGGCCAGGGGTCCCGGCAGCTAAGCGGACGGTGATTTCCGCAGATGCTGTTTCGGCGACGACATTTGATGCTACGCCGCCGACTATACGTCCAAAGTTCATTGTTGTGTTCCCATACTTCTCACTCCATGGCAACTGCTCCCGCAGCTCAAGCAACTTGGCCAATGCCTCGACAAGCACATCGTTGGCCGAGACTCCAAGCCAGGGATATCCGGAATGCGCAGCCTTCCCCGTGATGCTGAGGGTAAAGCCTAATATGCCCTTGTGCCCACAGACAAGTTTGCCCTCGGTCGGCTCGCCGAAGATGACGATGTCGTACGGTGGTCGCTCGTTCCAGTTTGAGAAGTGGCGCATGCCGTCGCCGCCCGTTTCCTCTCCGACGACGAACAGGAGCGAGATCTCGTCGTACAGGTGTGCCCGTAGACCTTCGACGGCAACGATCTGTGCTGCGACACTCGCCTTGGCGTCCACAGATCCTCGCCCGCCAATGATGCCCGATGTCTCGTTGTAGAAGTACGGCCAGTACGGAGGCACGGTGTCGATGTGCGAGGATACGAGGATTGACGTCTCGCGCTTTTCCCCGTACGCCAGCACATTGTATCGCCTCGGCGCGGTTTCGTGCAGTTCGACCGTGAAGTTCCTGTCTCGGAGGTATGCCGCTAACCACAGCCCTATGTGCTGCTCGTCTCCGGTGACCGATTCGAGCCCAACCAGCTTGCGGTGGAGGTGGAGAAGCTCGCCGGACGTGGTTTCCGGGAGGAAGGGGGCGTCACGGGCGGTCGGCGGTGGCGGCGGCGGCCGCTGGGAGGCTGCAGTCAGAGCAGCGAGGGCCACTGGAAGCAGTAGCACGGATCGTAGCATTTCCGTTCAAACTTCAGAGACAGGCGCGTGAGGGGTGGCGGGCCTGGGAAGGTCGGAGGGGAAGGGACGGGTGCCAAGGCCAGGGGACGTGGGGCTGTGGGGGCGCGGGCACAATCGCAGGGGGGTCTGCTTCATCTTCATCCCCAGGCGACGTACTACTCGGGCCCAAAAGGTTTCTCCGAAAAATCTCAAGAGATTGCCCGTGCGTAGCACGGGCCTATCCCCCCAATAGAAATGATCCCCCCAATGCAAACAGTACACTGCAGTCTCAATTTGTTAGCTAGCTACGCGTAATTCAGACATTGTAAACCCGTAGAATTAATCTATACACATTATTGAAGGCCCTAGTCATTTTGCGCATTATTAGGCGAGGCGTGGGTTGCGTCGCTGCCCTCAGCGTCGGATGAGGCCTCATCAGAGACCTCATCCAGCAACTCTGTAGGGGCAGGTTGAGACTCGTTTTTGACGCTTTGTGAACGAGATTGCTGAGCCAGCAGTGAGTCCTCTTCCTCTGCTCTCCTCTGGCTGTCTTGCTCCTCTCGTAGTTGATTTTCTGCCTGTAGTTTCGCGATGACGAGTTTGTTGTACGGGTCAATCAGGCAACGCACCTGGCCAGCCACGTCAATAGCTAGCGTCAACTCGTCGGTTACTTTGCGCCTATATTTGAGGCTGCTCGGCTGCTGTATATACTCCAATTTGCTCGCTGCTATAGTGTTGTAGCGCTCGTCGTCAAGGGGGTGTACCCAGCGGGCGACGTTGCGGTAGGCTACAACCTTTGCCTTTCTTCGATTGACGTACTTTCTGCCCCAGTTCCTCACAGGAGGCAGTACCTTGAGGTATTTGTTAAGTAAAACCGTAATCTGGCGAAGTTGTTTAGCTGTAACGTCTCGTACAGCGCGAGCAGCGTCGTTGACGACCCGCTGCTGTACCATCGCGCGCGCGTCTTGGGCGTAGATTGGGCCACCCTTGACGTCAAGCGCACGCCGTTTTCGGCGCCGGCGCTCATCTTTAGCAGTCACAGCTGCCTCTGTTTTACGCAGCTCTCGCTGCAGGCCACCCGCCGCGCGAGCGAGCGCTGAGACGCCCCGCTGGTGTTTGATAACGCTGGCAGCAACCTCTCGAGGGAGGTGTTGACGCAGCACAGCTTGGACGAAAGGCTCCTGCGCCTGTATTTGGCGTACAGTCTTTGGCGTGCGCCAGGCGGCGTCCCCCAGCTTTGGCTCTGCTGGCTCTGGCGTTGTAGGCGTGTAGGCGCGGCGGACGAGCTGCGCCTGTTGTAGGTCAATCTTGACGTGGTTGTAGCGCCGGATGGGCGCGCGAGATGGCTCGCGAGATGGCGACGAGCCAACCTTTGGCGGCGAGGAGAGTACTATAGGCGTTGTAGAGCGTACAGGTAGCGGAGGCGTAGGCGAGCGCTCGTCGTCGCTAGAGTTGCAGTTTTCTAGTAGCTTCAATTGACGAAGTACAATATCAGGTTTGAACGGCGCAAGCCCTGTACGTTGCCAACCGCTTAGTATGGTGCTGCGAGTGAACGTGAGACGTCGGATCTCTGCTACAGTCGCTAGAAAGTCAGCTTTGCTTATATCTTTAGACCCAGCGCGAGCAGCCCAGTCAAGCTGGCGACCGTGATACCATTTGAGTGGTTGAAAACAGCCAACGTCAAGTGGCTGCAACATGTGAGTCGTGTGAGGTGGCAGCGAGTATAGCAGGATACGATTATCCTCAGCGTATTGAGCAAACTCTCTCGTCTCATGAGATCCGTGGCCATCAACGAGTAGTAGCCGCCATACGCCTTGCTGTCGCCTAGCTGTCATCTTATCAAAGTGTTTGAGCCAGTCAAGCGCTATCCGATCGTTGCTGTAACCGCTGTCGCTAACGTCAATAAGGTAGTCTTCAGGCAAGTCAGGTATCCAGTGCTCCATTACTGTAGTTGCTTTGATAATAACTAGAGGCGTTATTGCCTCGCCGTCAGCGCTTACGCACTCTACGAGAGTCATCAACTCGCGGTTGTTGGCGTTAGGTATAAAAATCTGGCGCCCATATCGGCTGTAAACGTACTGGCTGGTTGCGACGCCAATCCGGCAGCCAGTTTCGTCCATATTGTACGTATCGCGAGGCAACACGCCCAGGCGTTCAATGTGGCTCTCTAAAGTCGTGAACCAGGCGCGCAGCGCCTCTGGTTGCTGGGCGAGTTTCCTCGCTATCTCCATTGGCTTTGCCTTGACGCGCTTGTATTTTGGGTGCCTCTGTAGCCAGCGGCGCGCCCAATGTTTGCCCAACGGCGGAGGGGCCTCATCAACTCCCAAATACGACTCTTGAAGTATCAGGTTTGCCTGCTGCTCAACCTGCACCCGGTGTATCCCCAAACCGATGGCGTCAATCGAGTCGATAAAGCGCACGAGAGCGAGATCTTGGGCAGGCGACAGCAGCTGAGTTGCCTCACGATCAGATCGCGTTGGGAGCTTGAGATAGGCACGGCGCAAGCGAGCGTAAGGGAGGTTGTGGACTGTAGCGTACGATTTGAGGTTGGGCGCTGTGTAGGTGCGAAGGTGCGACGCGTGCAGCTGCAAATCTACCGCCTCTCTAGCGTATTTTTTCGCGTTAGCAGGGTTGCGAGGCATGTTTAAAAGATTTCTACCGCTTTAGAAATTAATTATATAGCGTTGTGGCGGGTGTTGATTTATATAGAAGTATTTTGTTTGCATTGGGGGGATCATTTCTATTGGGGGGATAGGCCCGTGCTACGCACGGGCAATCTCTTGAGATTTTTCGGAGAAACCTTTTGGGCCCGAGTAGGTGGTATACATACAAAGGGATAGCCCGGCGGCTCCTTATTGCGCCGCACTAGCCTGTGCATCTAGGCAGAACCGAGTATAAATCAGGCTCAAGCCTTTCGTCCGCAAACAACATATACCCAAAACCAAAGCCGCTGCCCTTTGCCGACTTCAAATTCCCTCGCTAGATCGTCCATTGCCGTCTTCACTTCCTGCTCGTCTCGCCCAGTCTCGCGCCCCAACCTCTGCATAAGCGGGCCGCACATCAGCGGCGTCTGCTTTCCTACGT